TGCTGAAGATCAAAGCCTGGAAAGTGTTTGGGGGGTTCGCTCCTGGGGAAAGGGAGTTACTGAGATGAAGGGGTTTGCTCTTGAAGGGGTTGAGAGGGAGGCGAAGGATGGTGGTGAGGGACAGGGAAGCAGCCCTAGAGCTGTGGCTGCGCGGAGGGATGTGCGCCAGGCAGGGAGGCTGCAAGCAGCTGGCGTGGACTGGGCAGGACCAGGCAGCCCAGGACCAGAAGCTCACATACTGGGAGGGGGTAGGCAGCAACCCCTGGGCGGGGGCCTGCCTCCTGCCCAACCCAGCCAGTGTTCCAGGGCCACCGGAGTGGCTCCTCTGTGACCTCGCTGTGGAGCCAGCATCGGGGTGCACCATGCTCCACAGGCTCCTGCTGCTTGCCCTGCTGCTGGGGGCTGCCCTCCCGCGGCCCCTGCACCAGAGGTGATGGTGCTCCCCTCCTCCTCCTCCCTGCCCTGCTACCTGCAGAGGTACCCCCGGGCTCCTGGCCCAGGCGTGGGCTGGCATTTGTGGCACCAAGCCCTCAAGAGCTGGTCGGGCTGGGTAAAGACAAGCGGCGCATGGGCGCTCTTGTGCCAGCGTGGGTGAGTGCTGTAGGGCCTTGGCTCACTCCTGTCCCTGGTTATCCTCTGCAGGGTCAGCTACTCGGTTCCTGAGGACTTCTCTGCTCCCCTGGAGCTTCCACAGCAGCACTTTGGCCTGGTGGATGGTACAGCACCTTCCTTGCCCCTCCGAACTCCCTTTCCATGCGCTCGCTCCTCCAGGCGGGCAGTTGTCCCCAGCCCCGTGAGCAGCCCCAGGGCTGAGCCCAGCCTCTCCGCTCTGCCCGCAGATTATGGCATCAAACCCAAGCAGCCTCGCTTCAGGACCTGGGCAGCCCGGGAGCGGCCGGCGGGGCTGCGCAGAGCTGGCAAAAGCAAGCGTGATGAGCTTGACTTGCTAGAGTACTACTATGATGCCCGCTTGTAAGCCAGCATGCCCCTGTGCCCATCACAGCCCAGCTTCCAGGACGCCCCCCCGCCTGCCCTCTGCTGCTGCAGGACAGGGTAGGTGTGGAATGTAGGAATGGGGCGGGGGGGTGAAAGGGTAAGCCCTATTTTGAGTGAGGACTGGAGCAAATGACCTCCAGAGGTCCCTTCTGATCATCATACGATGATCTCTGGCCTCCGGGGATTGCAACTGGAGCGCTCAGACCAAACCTGAGAAGCTCCAGCTCCTCTTGGGGTCCCAAGGGAAGGAATGAGCCAGGGCCCAAACTCACTGTGGTGGGACACAAACAGCATGGCGGCCCTGCTCCATGAACCATCATATTTAATAGTTGTTGCCATCACAGCAGATCCAGCTGAAGCACAGAGACCGCTGGCTGCAGGGACCAGGAGAGCTCTTCTACCTCCACGGTGCTTCGCACAGTTCCCTGCAGGCTTTAGCCCTTCCCTGCCCCACTTCTGGCAGGGACCCAGCTCTGCGCAGGGGCTGAGCCCCACTGCCCTGGGGTGGTCCAGCCCTGCCGCTGCCTCTGCCACCTGCAGCTGGGGGGAAGGGGGGGGAAAGGGGCAGAGAAAGTCTCCCCTCCCCAGGGTGTAGTTACTGCAGAGAGGAATGGGGGTACTTTTCTCTCTTCCCAGGGCATGGATACAAGAGGAGAGGGTGGGGATGGGGGCAGAGGCAGGGGTGAGCTGTCTCAGCTCATCCTGGTGCTGGCATGCCTCTGGCAGAGGAGATACTGGGGCTCCTTCTGTCATTCCTGTCCAGCAGCCTTGTCCCCAGGGCCTGGCAGGGAGGCGATGCCTGCCCAGAGCAAGTCCATCTCCCAGGCATGAGCCAGCACACGGGTCTTCTTTGCTGTAGCTGCTGTGTCTTCATACTGCGAGAGTCTGACTCTGCCACTGCGTTAAAAGTCACCCCAGAGGGATGTGACGGGAAGCTGGGCCATGGTCACAAGGAGGAGATGCTGTCACCCCAGCCTGCAGCAGGAAAGGGCCCAAGCACGCTGCTGCCCACCCCTCCGCTGCTCACAGGCAGGGCACCCAGCGGGTGCTTCTCCAATAGAATAAACTAAGAGTATTTTGTACAATAAACACAATTTGTCCAGCCCTCCCCCCTCCCGTCCCCCCCCAGCCCCAGCCCGAGGAAGGGGAGTCATGAAAAGAGGCGGCGCTCCGGGCCCCGGGGAGCCCCGCC